TTATGCTTTTAATTCACCCCTTTGTGTCTGTATGGCTTTCCATCCAGGCATTTAGACAGTGGACTGTTTAGTGTGGGGCAGTAGAGAAATATTTTACTATTGCAGAGGAACAGATCTGAGGTATACTTTTGCAATGCCCATTTTATTGTAAATTGATCTGAGTGGCTGGAAAAGATATTTAATTCAAAATTGGATATTTAGTATGCACAGACAGTTGCTTTTTAAAACTGAAGCTTGGATCACATTATTTATTGCTGTGTTTCTGTAGGTATAGTTAACAAGGTGCTTGTTTTATTTCTTTAAAATACCTCTGGGGAAAACGTGAGAGAATAAATATTGTATATGAGTTTCTAAGTGACTCAGCGCCCCCAATGCCAGCTCTTGTCTCACAGTATATTATAAGTAGAACCAGAAAAATCTCCAGGTTGGCTCTTTTCTGCACTTCAGTTTTCTCATCTAGAAAATGGAAATAACAGTACCTACCTTGTGTGGTTTTATAAAGATAAGCAATATACCTGTATGACGTATTCAACAAAATGCCTGGCTTGTGCTGGTCTTCAGAAAATGCCTTGCGTCTGCTGTGTTTGGATGTTCTTTCTTACAACACAAAGTTTTATAAGTCATTTATTTATAAATTATCAGCATTGTTTGTTTTCTGGTCTTAGATGAGGTTTCTCATACTGTGTTTCAGTTTTGCATATGAATTTATAAATCTGATTCTTGACTTCTTATGTGGGTAATATTTAAGATCCAGTGAACTTTAATTTTCTAAGAAAATAGAAAAGCCTCTTTCTTCAAAGTTAGGGCCCTAATAAAATAAAATGTAATTTTTGCTATTTGGACTTATGTTATTATCCACAATACTTCTATGGATTTTGATTTTAGGGAGCTGTGCCATGCCTTTTCTTGACACATCCTGGTCTGTATTTCACTTCTTATTTACAAGTACACCAATCCTATTGGATCAGGGCTACACCCATTTGACCTTAATAAATCTTAATTACCTCCTTAAAGGTCCTATTTTCAAATATGGGCACATTGGATGTTAGGACTTTATCATATGAATTTGAGGCCATAACAACTGCTGTCCTTTTTCTTGGAAGGCCCATAGCAGAAGCAGTGGGGATACTGCTATAGTGTTGAGTTAATTTGTAGCCTTTTTGTAATTCTGGTTCTTTAATGGATGAAAATTCACATTTTCTTTTCCTTTTTATATCTCCTGCCACTTATATGTCTGTAAGTTTATTTTGATCAATATGACAGATAGAAATATATTTGTGTGTGTGCATAACTGTGATCACAATTCAGTAGTTGCCTTTATAAAGTGGTATGCATTCTATTTTCTATTCTATTTCATTTTTTTAAAGCTATTTTCTGACAGGCTACTTAATGTAATTTGAGAAACACAGCTACAGAGCTTTGATGTGTCATGTATGTGGGAAGACTTTTCTTTCTAACCCTTGGAGGTTATAGACATACAGTCGACTTGCATTGATTTCCAGTATTTTTGAAGCCCATCATAAGACTTCCCTGCAGAGGAAATTATAGTTTGGAAAATTTCCTTGTCATTTGGCAGCTCTTGTAGGAAATAGAAGATGGCAGGGTGGAAAAGTTTCATCATACTGATTGTCTTTGCCAAGAGAGTCATAAAAGTATGTCTTATATACAGGGTAACGTGACAGATTGTAATGTAATCTAACTGTGGCTCAGTGACATGGATTTTATGTGTATTGATTATCTCTGTCAAGGTTTGGGCTTGGTTTTGTTTTAGTATTACTTTTCCCAATTGCAAGCTCCTCCCTGGTAGGTGGAAGAATTTAAAAAATAATAATAGTTAATTTTTTGATGATCATCTCAAGTCTTAATTCATAGGATACACTGTGTTGGGACCTGATTATAATTTATTTATGGTGTAATTCTGTGGTTATCACTTGAGGAAGACACACCTGTGTATCTGTTAACAGTTAACTGTGTTGGCCCTAGGAGCTTAATAGCAGGATGAATGAAAACCTGCTTCATGTCATCTAGGAAAATGGGATTGCTAGGAAAGAGAGCTCACTCCTCCACCTGCAAGCACAAAGTAGCTTTTTTTAAGTGCCAAGCCACAGGAAGTATACTGGATCTAAGGATTATGGAAATGTTATTTAAAAACTGAAATACAGTTTATTGTGGGAGGACTACAGGATACTTTAAGGTTGTAGAAAACGAGTTAGCCTGGTGTGCCTTCCATATGATACATATCACCCTGGAGAAGTCTTGGAGCTTCTATTTCCTCATTCAGTCTCCATTACAGACCAATGAGACAGTGCCTGGAAAAGATAGGTCACAGAGTTGAGTTCTCACCACTCTCTTGTTCTTTATTTCTTCAAGTCTTTTTTTTTTTTTTTTGATAAATAGGAAGTACATGAAAACATGCAGCAAAAGACTGAAGGCTAGTCAAGATATTCCTTTTTCCATTTATTCCTTGCTTTTAAAACATTTTTCTGACCAATTGGTTTTATTATGATGGATAATAAAAGATAAAAGATGTAGAAAGAGAACCTGAAAGTGCCAGAGAGGAGCAGAGACCCGGGCAAACTCAAAGTACCTGTGGGTTATTGGCTTCAGTGAGGACCTATACACATTCTCTTGAGATTGTATGATGTGCATTGTGTGCTGCAAAGACAACATTGCTGACCCACTACATTTAGTGATTTTGTTTTTGTTTTTAAATTGACACCTATATAGTTGTCATCTGAGCACACTGCACAAGCAAGGAGATTTAAGCAAGAGGCAAGTAAACCAGATGGACTGAATATGGGGAACCAAGCAGGCAATGTGGGTCCTAAGTTCAGGTAGACAGTGTAGGGAAACTTCAAGAGAATTATGCAATGGAGGCTGGAATTGTTTTCATTTGTTTTAAAATGATCTCTCCCTTTCATAAGAGGAATGGGGAGTCTGAAGGGCCAGTGGTTTCTGGATACCACAGAGGTCCTCCAAGGTGAGATGGAGGTAGAGAGTAAGAGGATCATAACCAATCACTTTGGAGCTAGCTCTCCCAAACCCTAAGTGGGCTGCTTCCTGCAGTTATTGATTCTTAAAGAACAAGACAAGGGAGGTTTGATTGATGGATAGTTAAGTAGGGCCACTAATTGTTAGGGACTGGATCCTGACTCTCATAAAATTTGTACATAGAAACCCTAATCCCTGATTTGATGGTTTTTGGAGGTAGGAATTTTGGGAGGTATTAGACGAGGTCATGAAGGTGCAGCCTCATGATGGGTTTGGTGTCCAACAAGACTAGGTAAAGAGAGACCACAGATCCTTCTTTCTCTCTTCCATGTGTGGACACAGTGAGAAAGCAGCTGTATACAAGCCAGCAAGGGGTCCTTATTAGGAACCTAATCTACCAACATCTTGATCTTGGACTCCTAGCCTTTAGAACTATAAATATCTGTTGTTTAAGACACTAAGTCTGTGGTATTTTGTTATAGCAGCCCAAGCTGACAAGCTGTTGTTATAGCATCAAGATGAGGTGCTTCTGGTACAGGGCTGGGATTCTTGAACCTGTAAAATAGAGATATTGTGGGAGAGAGTCATGGAACTGGCTCTCCAGGATGGATGAGAAGACAGGCTTTAGTGATGACTGAAGGACATTGCTTTGGCAATGCCGTGCCTAAAACTTGTGAGAATACAAGAAAATAAATACCATTGTTTTAAACTCTCATTTTTCCTTATGTTCTTAGATTCTTCTGTTTATTCGTTCCCAAATTGACCATTCAGGACAGTTCTAATACAGATATTCTTGCTCTCCTTGATCCAAATCCACAAGTCCAGAGTGAGTTCTGTAGCCTTTTTATGCTAGGGTATTTATAAGATTTGCACATGCATTTATATTCTAGGTAGAGGGAGGTTGCCATTAACTCAGGGAAAGTTCAGTGGTGAGTACCTTTTTGTGTTAGTGGTACATGGCCCTGTTGGCTATCATGCCTCTCACATTGGTGAAATGCTTCTGCACTGTGGTTTGTATGCTAGCCCATTATTTCTCTGAGTATAAGATATCTCTTGCTTCCCATTTTGGAAATCTGGTTCTAATTGTGTATCTCTTTTTATACTAGACACATTTGATGCACATGCACACTTTCTTGTCCTGTGCTATGCTTGCTTCAAGTCTGTGGACTTCACTGAGCACCTGCTATGTGCCAGGTCCTCAAAAGGAGCTGGCACAGTTCCAATCCCAGGTGCTCATTGTCCAGGGAGAGGACGAGGAGCCCCTTTGAGAAGGAATCTAGACAAGTGACACAACTAAGCTTTTTGGTAACAGTGTTGCTCAATGCTTCAAAAATAGGATGATTTTTTGTTGTTGATGCCTTTGAAAGAAATTAACTTACTTATATGCACTTCAATGTTTTTGTTTTAACATATACTATGAAACCTCTTTTATGTAAGTTTTTAAGGGATATTGTAAGAGATATTGAGTGCATATAAAATTGTAATCCTGGAAATTGTGTTCAACAAGGCCTATTACAAGTAACAATGCCCTCAGGCAACCAACAGAACCTTCTCCAAAAGAGCTTCCTCTGTGAATCTGGGCTGAAGTTCCTCTTGGGGCCTCTCATGTGAAATGGTTGAGTGAGACAGTTGAGAATCACTGTACTGCTTGGGGCTTGTATCCCTTGCTGTATAATTACAAATATTTTGTTACTTGGAGTTCGTAGGAATTCCATGTGTTAAGGAGGCAGGATGTCTACAGACCAGTCCCAAGAGTAACTGATTGGTTGGCTGGTCCATCTATCTGGTTTTGGGACAGGTGTTTACAAATCCAAGTGCAGTGGTAGAGGACGACTGTGCCTTTAGTGGAGGGTGCCTTTATTGTTAGCTGACAAACTGTGGTACAGGTTAAGAGAAACTAGGATATTTTAATACTGCAAACACAGGACTCATGCCATTTGGAAAACAAATTCATGTTCTGGGAACTGTTTTGTCTTTTAATTTCTGTATCTTTTTCTGTTATAACCCAGGTGCAACATTAGAGGAGATAACCCAGCACTGGGACTGGCTGGAACAGAACCTCCTCCATACCTTGTCTGTCTTTGATAATAAAGAGGATGTTGCTAGTTTTGTCAAAGGGAAGGTAAAGGTAGGTATTTTTGATTGTAACATTTCTCCTCATGTTCTCATTTTTCTTGTAACTTCCGTATAACATTTTGAACATTGAAGCATTTTTAATGCTATTCTTTGTCCACTATAACTGAACACAAAGTCAAATGAGTTCCACTTGTTACCCTTTCAACTCTGCAGAGTCAGTTAAGCAAAATACACCTAAAATTCAAAAAGACCTCATTCTCAGGCCCAAATTTTTGTTATTGTCTACATTTATTAAAGTCCTTTTTTTTGTCTCAGGAAAAATATAATATTAACATTTATGTTTTTACAGAATAATGTTATTTGACTTTTTAAATTAGTTATTCCCAACTTTTTTTGCAGCTGCAACATCTTGTGACTCTTTATTTTATTGGAACTAGCACTTTTCTACTCCTAAAAGTAGATATTTATTCTTAAAATATGTTATTACTTGAGTGTAATTATAGCCAGTTAAGTTTTGAGATGGCAGAAAAGACTATTTTGGGGACTCTCTGTCGATATCTCATATGAATGACATCTTATATAACTGGTCTCACTGTAAAACAAGTAGTTTGGTAGCTATTGTTTAAAAAACCCTATCAGGCAGGGAAATACTGTTTCTTACTCTAAATTTAACTCTCTTGTTAAACACTTTCATACAGCAACCTCTGTAATACAATTTTCCTCCTTTAGGGTAAAATTCCAGTCCAAATGATTTTCCTCCTTTAGGGTAAAATTCCAGTCCAAGTTTTCAGTAAAGAGTGTCGAAATGAATTCTCATTTTTAAATGGACAATATAGAAGCAGTGTTTTCCTTTGGGGGCTGAGAGTACTTGTGGGACCAAGTAAATAACAGAGGTCTCCTGAAGCCAGCCAGGATGTGGCTGTGTTGACTGGTATCCTCTTGGTATCACCTCTGGCCAATTGGGTTAGCAGGTGAGTGACTGTGGTGGGGATGTGTTCAGCTTCTGGGTTATACCTCAACCTGATTTGAATGCCTGTGACTTGGTTCCCTGGGTCAGATCACAGTGGAGCTTAGCTATGGAAATGCCTGTTTCATGGTTGTTTTTCACACTCCCACCCCCCACCCCACACCAATTCTTGGTCTAACATGGGTATGGTGGTTTTTTAATTTAAATGTTTCTTTTCTTAATTCAGAGGAAGGAAATTAATTTTGGTACTGTGGCTTTAAGAAAGCTGTTCCTCCTCTGTAGAGGAGGAAAAATTTTTCTCTATCCTTCTAGGTTGTGGCTGTGGCCCTGGAAATTAAACTGACAAAAGTCAGGTTAACAAGAGGAAAACTGTTTATCAATATGTGTGTCACACATACACATGGGAAAAACTCAGTGATGAGTAACTCAAAGGAGTGGTTAGAACTTGGGGCTTTTATAGCATCTTGACTACAATATATTTGTAGAGAGGGAACAAGACAGGAAAAGGAATTTAGGCTTCTAGGGGTGGCAGGCTGTGGGAAAGTAAATATATGGGGTGGAACTAATAGAAAATAAGGGCTATTTTAGTCTGGTTTGTTATGTAGATTACTCTGAGTGCTGTCTCTGGTCTGGTAAGAGTTCAGAGTTGTCTTCAACAGCTTTAGAGATAATTTGGGACCTCAAGAACCTCAACCAATATGCTCCTTTTCTACTTTGGAAGACTGTAGATATATAGTGAAAGTGAAATGTATCAGGTATCATACTGTCTGGCAGTTATCAGTTGTTAGTTTTATACCAAAATTTTTTAATCTAATGAGGAAGATGATTTATTAGGTTGTTTTTTTTAATAAAGACTAACTTTTAACTCCAACTTGGGTAGTTCTTCAGGGTTGATGCTTTGAGTTCATATGTTAACCATTCGATCCTCATATTCCTGCATGGAAGAGTAGACAGGTATGATAAAATAGTAATTTGAGAACTGGGGTATAGCAGTCAGTGATTTGCCCCAAGCCTTATAGCTGGTAAGTGGCCAAACAAGAGATCTGTCCTTAGATTTCTTCCCCCAGCTTTTTTCCCCCATATATGACTGTGTTCCCAGGTGGTGGACACACAGACTGGTGAGTTGTTCTTGCATGCCCCCTACTGGGGACCTGGCCCACAACCCAGGCATGTGCCTTGACTGGGGATCGAACCAGTGACCCTGTGGTTTGTATGCCTGTGTTCAATCTGCTGAGCCACACCAGCCATGGTTTGGTGAGCTGTTCTCATCCATCCTGTGTGTCTTCTTGAGCAGTGAAGACTCCTTCCCGCTTTTGGTTATCCTCCCCCACCTTCTTCTTCTCTCTGATTGAGGGGCTGTTATCTTTCTGTGTGTCAGGCTCTGATTGCAGAAGAGACAAGTAGTCGGCTGGCCGAGCAGGAAGAAGAGCCTGAGAAGTTCCGTGAGGCCTTGGTCAAGTTCGGGGCCAGGTTCAACTTCCCTGAGGCAGAGAAGCTGATTACCTATTACTCGTGCTGCTGCTGGAAGGGCAGGGTTCCCCGCCAGGGCTGGCTGTACCTCAGCATCAACCACCTCTGCTTCTACTCCTTCTTCCTGGGCAAGGAATGTAAGTGAGGCTGGCGCTGGCTTTGGGATGGGTTTAGTTCTTCATACATAATGTTGGCCCCTGGGGTGCTTAAGCACTGGTCCCAACGTATGTTCTTAGCAAGAAGAGTCAGACCACAAAAAAGTTAAGAAAATTGAGATAATAACAGGTGCTGCTTGATTAATTTCCAAATAACTTATGCAGAAAACTGTATTTAATTATATATCCTACTACCACTAAGGGGATTTGATTTGGTGAGACTTCACTTTTCCTACTGCCTTAAGAATCATTTCTGTGCAGCTCAGTTCATACAGCCTCGAAGGGTTATTACTACTCTACATTGCTTTGAAAACCCAGTGTTAGAAATGATGGCCCAGCAGTTCTAAAGGAGTGGAACATATTGCTGCTTCTTCACACGGGGCTCATTTAAAAGATTTCTAGCCCTGAATGTCATGACTGCTTCTGGAAGAGGAGCTGGTTGGGCACTTGTTTCTAGAAGGCATATTCTTTACCTGGTCCTTTTGAGATTCAGGGAATGATTTACTTTTCATACATTTATCTACTGACAGTCACCATAGTAGGCAATGGAATTTCAAGGTAAAAGAGCAAAGTCGCAAGTGTCAATTGTATATTGAAAAATTTTAAAAGTTATTGTCATTGAAACTTCTTTTGGAAACAAATATTGTTTCAAATGCCCACTCAGGGTGGTATGGATGTTGTGTTTATACATACTTACACACACAAATACTTCTTTTTCTTCCTGCATTTCAGTTTATGTTTCAACTTAAGCCCAAGGTGAGGGGGTCTCCTTTTGAATTCTGTTCTAGCCACCTTTCTGCTCATGCTTTCCCTTCTTTTCCCAGGCCACCATCCTCAGTTCTGATGCTCTAGTCCATACACCTTGTTTGCACAGCCCCTCCCCACCCCACCTGGAATGTGTTCTGACCTAACCTTGGCCTTTCTTGCTCTTCTGCTTTCTGAAATGCTTCCCAGAATTAACACGGGTCTTGCCTCTGCTTTCCCATTCAGTGTCTGTTTGGAAACTCCTTTCATCTTTCAAAATTCAATACAGATTTTATTACTTCTCAAGACCTTCCCTGGCTCCCTCATGATTGGTATCATGTTTTTCCATGTCAAAATTGGTACCATTTTGGGTCCTGTCAAGTCACTGGTTGCTTACTTGTTTATATGTCTGTTTTCCCTATTTAAACAAACTACTTAAGGGAAGGGTTCTTCACAAACTCATGCTTAATGAATGAAAGTTGATAGTGTACATGTGTGTCTAAAGGACTTTATGTGAAAGCAACTAGAAGCAGCTGAAGAAGCTTATTCTCTAGTTCAGTGATTTTCAACCAGTATGTGCAAGAATTTTTAAAACATACAATGCCTGACAACTTAGTCAGGGGCACTGAGCTCTTTTCTCTTAGATTTTCAAATAAAAATAACAACAGCCAATACAGCAATAGCTGTCTTGTGTGAATGAGTCAAAATTATACCTGTTTTTTGTTACATCAGTCAAAAATATATTTCTTTGGTGTGCTGCAGAATTTTAGTAAGTAATTTGTGTGCTATGAAATGAAAAAGGTTGAAATTTGCTGCTATAGCCTAATGTAAAAATTGGCCTTTTAAAATTATTAACTCCTTAAGACATTATTGCAAAATAAATGGAAAGAAATGGTAGAAAGAAAAACACTTAGTCATCCCCTTCTTTATTTGAAAAGTGAAATGAGTTATTTTCTAACACTTAACCAATCATTGTCACTAACCCTAATTTTGTTAGGGTATTAAATTTGGAAAAACTAAATGATTCTCAATAGTTGGTAATGTTTATTATTTTAAGTTGTTGTATGTGTGTCTTCCCCATTTTTTCTGTATTAGTACCCCAGCCTACCTACCAGTGTGCTGCAAACTTTTCTGAGACTAGAACACTTGTTTATAAAATGAACTGTTTGTACTGCATTACTTTAAAAAGAATTCTATAAAAGCTACTTGTACCCTGTCTTCTAAGACTACAGCTGTCATTTGACACAGTCTGAATGTTAAGCCCATTTCTTTAAATGAGATCATGAATAATCCTCTTTTGCATTTTATTTTATAGTTTACACAATGGATGCTGCTTTTGAAACTGGCATTTATGTGGATTGCATATTTTGCAAATATTTAAGTTTAAATATTCTTTCTTTTTTTTGACATGCTAATTGATGTTAGAGAAAGGGAAAGGGAGGGAGAGAGAGAGAGAGAGAGAGAGACATCGATATGAGCGAGAAGCATCGATCAGTTACCTCTTGTACATGCTTAGACTGGGGACCAAATCTAGGCATGTGCCCTGATGGGGAATTGAACCCACAACCTTTTGAATTGCAGGCCAGCACCAACTAACTGAACCATACTGGCCAGGGCTTAAATATTCTTCAGAAAATTTTCATGGTATTTCAGAATGATATCTCTTGTACATGTGCAGTAGCCAGCGACTTGAAAAGTTCTACTTATACCTTTGAAATAATCATTAGGACATAAATTGGTTTCTAACATACAGCTGTCAAGCAATTCTTTGCCTGATCTTTCCTGCTCTGGTTTCAAAGATATTTGCATCTTAGTGTAAGGAAAGCCTTGGACTGTTGTTGATGTACACAAGTTTGGGGTAAATTTTAGGATAAAATGTTTTGTTTTGTTTTTCCTACTAGTTAAACTTGTAGTCCCTTGGGTTGATATCCAGAAATTAGAAAAAACATCCAGCATCTTTCTGACGGCTACTATTCGAATTACCACGCATAATAAGGAGAGGGACTTCTCCATGTTCCTGAACCTTGAAGAGGTGTTTAAGATCATGGAGCAACTGGCAGACGTGGCTCTGCGAAGGCTACTGGATAATGAGGGCTTTGACCTGGACCCAGATCTGCAGGAGCCAAGTCAGATTACCAAGAGGTAAGAGCTTCTGGTACCAGGTATACCTCATACCACCTTCATTTACTTGCGCTTTGTTAGTGTGAGTTATGCTAGATTTAAATTTCCCTTGTGGCAGAATCCAGATTTTCCTCTGTTGTTAATCATGGCAGATACAATAATTAGCAATGATTATTATTTGTTTCCTTTATGCCATACACTTTGATTTTTGGATCCTATTCCTTTTTTTAGAATGATTTTCATAAAAATACTTCTAGAAAATGTAATATGGTAGCCTCATGATAGAATTCTATTCAGCATTGGGTTTTATTAGTGAACATTAAGAAAATTTGTATTTTCATACTGAACTACAATGTAGAAAATGTTTTCAGAACAGCTGCATTTATTTTGGTACCAATTTATCATTAGAAATCAGTTAACATTCTTTATTATTTGTTTGCCCCAAATTGATACTAGTCCTGGAGACTTATGAGGTAGTTGCTTGAATTATTTATTGCATTAAAGAAGTTCACCTTTAGGGCCAAGATGGTGGCGTGGGTGGAGACACTGTGCCTCCTTGCACAACCAAGTTTAAAGACAAGAAAGTTTTAGTAACAAAAATGCAGCCGAAAGACAGAAAATTGAACTATATGGAAGTCGGACAACAACGAACCATTCAGCCAGACTGGTAAGAGGGGTGGAGCCAAAGGCGGAGCAGGGTCGGGTGGGAAAGATCCCCGAGACCGACCCAGGTGTGCAGACAGCCATTGGCAGATCCCAGGTGTGGGGTAGCAATGGGTGGACCCAGTGAAGGCACAAGGTGGCAGGCTGACTGTGGTCACACATTCATGCGCAGATAAACCAGTGAAGGAGCAAGCAGTGAGACAGACCGCGCAGGCCCCAATGGCAGGAAGTAGCAGAGGGGACCACTATTGCCCCTCTTTGACCCAGCCCCCACATACAGTGTCACGACCCAGTGACTGAGTTGCCCCGCTCTGGTGAACACCTAGGGCTCTGCCCCTCATATGTAATGGGCGCGAACACACCAAAACATTATGGCTCAACAAGAACTCAAAGCCCCAGAGCCGATAACTCTAAGCAACCAAGAAATAGCCAACCTATCAGATGCACAGTTCAAAACACTGGTGATAAGGATGCTCACAGAACTGGTTGATTTTAGTCACAAATTGGAGGAACAAATGAAGGCTAAACTAATTGAAATAAAGGGAAATGTACAGGGAACCAATAGTGATGGAAAGGAAACTGGGACTCAAATCAAGGGAATGGACCAGAAGGAAGAAAAAAAATGACCAAACAGAAAAGAATGAAGAAACAAGAATTCAGAAAAAATGAGGAGAGGCTTAGGAACCTTCAGGACATCTTTAAACGTTCCAACATCCGAATTATAGGGGTACTAGAAGGAGAAGAGGAAGAGCGACAAGTGGAAAACTTATTTGAACAAACAATAAAGGAGAACTTCCCCAATCTGGCAAAGGAAATAGACTTCCAGAAAGTCCAGGAAGCTCAAAGAGTCCCAAAGAAGTTGGACCCAAGAAGATACACACCAAGGCACATCATAATTACATTATCCAAGATAAAAATGAAGGAGAGAATCCTAGAAGCAGCAAGAGATAAGGGGACAGTCACCTACAAAGGAGCTCCCATCAGACTGTCAGCTGATTTCTCAAAAGAGACCTTACAGGCAAGAAGGGGCTGGAAAGAAGTATTCCAAGTCATGAAATCCAAAGACCTACAACCAAGATTGCTCTATCCAGCAAAGCTTTCATTTAGAATGGAAGGACAGATAAAGTGCTTCTCAGGTAAAATCAAATTCAAGGAGTTCATCATCACCAGGCCCTTGTTATATGAAATGTTAAGGGGACTTATCTAAGGAAAAGAATATAAAAAATATGAATAGTGAAAGGACAGCAAACTCAGTTATTAAGAACAACACCTAAAACAAAAGCAAACTAAAAGGACAGCTAGATCAGGAGTGGAACCATAAAAATGAAGATCACATGTAGGGTTAACAACAGAGGAGTGGGAGGAGGAGAAGGGGGGAGAAGACACAGAAAATAAGTAGCATAGACAGTAGGTAGAAAATAGATAGGGGGAGGGCAAGAATATTAGGGGAAATAATCTAAAGAACTTGAGACACATGGACATAAAGTAAAGGCAGGGGAATGGTGGGGGAGTGGGTGTGCAGGGTGGAGGGGAATGAAGGGGGAGAAATAGGACAACTGTAATGGCATAATCATAAATACATTTTTTAAAAAGTTCACCTTTATTATCTAAAATTCAAACTGTGGTTGACTATGATTTCTGGCTTTGTGGTTCAAACTGGGTAACTGCAGAACTGCTACAAAGGTGGACTATTACAGAGGTATCTTTTGACCTTAGAGAAAGGGATGGAGAGAGAGGGTGGGGGAGAGGGAAGCACCAATGTGAGAGAGAAACATCAATCTATTGCTTCCCATATGCTCCATGACTAGGGATCGAACCCACAACTTAGGTATGTGCTTTGATCTGGAATTGAACCCACATCCTAGGCATGTGCCCTGACCAGGGACTGACTGTATCTGCAACCTTTTGGTGTATGGGACAATCCTCCAACCAACTGAGCCATCTGGCCAGGTCCTGGGGGAATATTTTTGATGTAGTTGCGAAATCACCACTGCTATTTGAATGTTAGTAGTCATTAAAAATTTTATTTTGTTGTAGTAAAATACATATAAAATTACCACGTTGACCATTTTTAAATGTACAGTTCAGTGGTATTAAGTACATTCCTGTTGTTGTATGACCATCATGATCATCTATCTCCAGTACTCTTTTCATTTTGCAAGACTGAAACTCTGTGCCTTTTCAATAACTCCCCATTCTCTCCTTCCCTCTTTCCTGGAAAGCACCCATTCTACTTTCTATCCTTATGAATTTGACTATTCTGGATCCCTCATATAAGTGGAATCATACAGTGTTTGTCTTTTGTTACTGGCTTATTTCACTTATCACGATGTTGTGGAAGGTTCATCCTTGTAGCGTGTGTCAGAATTCCTTTTGTTTTTATATGTATATATTTTGCTTACCTGTTCATCCATTCATGGCTGTTGTAAGTTGCTTCTACCTTCTGGCTATTGTGAATAATGCCTGCTGTGAATATAACTGTGCATCCATGTCTTTAAGACCCTGCTTTTGACCTTGGTCAGTGTGGCTCAGTTGGTTGGAGTGTCGCCTCATACACCTAAAGGTCACAGGTTTGATTTCCAGTCTCAGGGCACATGCCTGGATTGCATGTTTGGTCCTGGTTGGATCCTGTGCAAGAAACAGCTCATCCATGTTTCTTATATCAGTGTTTCCCTCCTTCCCTTCCCCTCTCTCTAAACTCAATAAGCATGTCCTCGGGCGATGATTAAAAAAAAAAAGACCCTGCTTCAACTCTTTTTGATGTATAGACAAAAGTGGATTGTATGTGATTCTGTGTTTAATTTTTTAGGAACCACTAGTCATTAAATTTTTTATCATTAATTTTAACATTTCTAATATTCCTTAAACACATGTATTGTCTTCTCTGGACATTTGGGGGAAAATATCTTTCTAATTAGTGATCTCAGAACAGTAGTTGTTTAGAATTTTCATGAGGAAAGAGGAGGAAAATCAAAGGCCTGTGGCTCTTGAGACTCTTGGTAAAATCATCCATTTTGGAGAAAATTCATCAATGTTGGCAGTTATCAGAATCAGGGGAATTCTCCAAGGCTACCCTCCCTTCTACCCTGGGAACTATTAAAAAGTGGGTGAGAGCTCCTGAGGGAAGAATAGTGAAGCTGAGGGGCACGTGGCATGGTGCTGATTTTTCTTGGTGGCTTTTTGGTCTCGTTTGTGAGATGGATGTTGTCCTTCATGATGGGCAAACCAAGAAGATGGCAGGAGTGAAAACTGAAGTTGGCAGAATTCACACTGTCTTTTCTGTGATGAGAGTCTGTTTCAGGAAAGGTAAGCCTAGCCTATAAGAACATGGCAAAAGGCTAGAGCACCAAGGAATTAACATTGAATTTGTAGGTCAGATTGAACTTTTCAGTGACAAGAATAATACTCATAAATTATAGACGAGTGAAAGAACTAGCCTTACCTGGAGAACTGACCCAGAAGAAAGTTATGATTTTGAATTTATGCAAGTTAAAAAGCCATCAGTTTCAATATCTGCTTCAGGTATTTTCTTAAAGCGACAATAGCAAGAAGGTTGACAGACTTGGTAAAAGAATATGATCTTATTATTCACTGGCTTGCTACCTACCCCTGATGTTCACAACTCTTTAGCATATGTGTAGGCATTAAAAATGGCCTACACATATAATTTGAATATAATAAAGTAATATTTAAATGATGTGATGACTGGAAAAAATTTACTTCTTATTATAAAAATCCAACATAGGAAGCTGACAACTGATTAAAAAAGAGATCACAGGAATTGAATCTAGAACCACAACAGAAATAGAAATATTTGCTAAGTATGAAATAATGGATGGTGCACCAGTAAAAGGTGAATCAATTCCCATAACATTATTTTTTTAAGATTTTATTTATTTATCTTTAGAGGGGAAGGGGAGGAGAGAGGGAGAGAAATATCAATGTATGGTTGCTTCTTTTGCATCCCCTGCTGGGAAGTGGCTTGCAACCCAGGCATGTGTCCTGACTGGGAATCAAACTGGGATCCTTTGGTTCGCAGGCCTGTGCTCAATCCACTGAGCTACACCAGCCAGGGACCATAACATTATTTATATCTAAATATGAGCCAACTGCAACAGTTAGAGATGTAAAAAAATGTTTTTCCGTAAGGTACTTTTTGAATCTAGTCCTTTTTGATGATAAAAGACAGAAGGTAAATACCTAAATAGCAGGAGATCATTTTATGGAGAAAACCTCCTGAAAAACAAGGAAACAGAACAAACAAACTTTCGCCAGTGATTTGAATCACCAGAATTACAGGCAACTGCTGAATAGCCTGAAATGTGAACTGAATAGGAGAAAGAGAAACAAAAACCTCT